CCACCAAACCAGCTCTTCAACAAATGCTAAAGGACCTTCTCCGGAAGGAAACACAGAAAGGGTATATAAGCTCAAATCCCAAAGAAGAAAGTAAATGGCAATGGGATCATACGTATCAATAATTACTTTAAATGTAATTGGGCTGAATGCCCCAACCAAAAGACAAAGACTGGCTGAATGGATACAAAAACAAGACTCCTATATATGTTGTCTACAAGAGACCAACCTCAAAACAAGGGACACATACAAACTGAAAGTGAACGACTGGAAAAAGATATTCCAACAAATAGAGACCAAAAGAAAGCAGGAATATCAATACTCATATCAGATAAAATAGACTTTAAAACAAAGGCTGTGAAAAGAGATAAAGATGGACACTACATAATGATCAAAGGGTCAATCCAAGAAGATATAACAATCAAAACTATATATGAACCCAACATAGGAGCACAACAATATGTAAGACAAATGCTAACAAGTATGAAAGGGGAAATTAACAACAACACAATAATAGTGGGAGACTTTAATACTCCACTCACACCTATGGATAGATCAACTAAATAGAAAATTAACAAGGAAACACAAACTTTAAATGATACAATAGAACAGTTAGACCTAATTGGTATCTATACGACATTTCACCCCAAAACAATGAATTTCACCTTTTTCTCAAGTGCACACGGAAGCTTCTCCAGGATAGATCACATTCTGGGCCATAAATCCAGCCTTGGGAAATTAAAAAAAAAATTGAAATCATTCCAAGCATCTTTTCTGACCACAATGCGGTAAGATTAGATGTCAATTACAGGAGAAAAACTATTAAAAATCCAACTATGGAGGCTGAACAACACACTGCTGAATAATCAATAAATCACAGAAGAAATAAAAAAAGAAATCAAAATATGCATAGAAATGAATGAAAATGAAAACACAATAATCCAAAACCTATGGGACACTGTAAAAGCAGTGCTAAGGGGAAGGTTCATAGCAATACAGGCTTACCTCAAGAAACAAGAAAAAGGTCAAATAAATAACCTAACTCTACACCTAAAGCAACTAGAAAAGAAAGAAATTAAGAACCCCAGGGTTAGTAGAAGGAAAGAAATCTTAAAAATTAGGGCAGAAATAAATGCAAGAGAAACAAAAGAGACCATAGCAAAAATCAACAAAGTCAAAAGCTCGTTCTTTGAGAAGATAAATAAAATTGGCAAACCATTAGCAAGACTCATCAAGAAACAAAAGGAGAAGAATCAAATCAACAAAATTAGAAATGAAACTGGAGAGATCACAACAGACAACACTGAAATACAAAGGATCATAAGAGACTACTATCGGCAACTATAGGCCAATAAACTGGACAACTGGAAAAATGCAAAAATTCTTAGAAAAATACAACTTTCCAACACTGAACCAGGAAGAAATATAAAATCTTAACAGCCCCATTATAAGCATGGAAATTGAAACTGTAATCAGAAATCTTCCAGCAAATAAAAGCCCAGGACCAGATGGCTTCACAACTGAATTTTACCAAAAATTTAGAGAAACGTTAACACTATCCTACTCAAACTCTTCCAGAAAATTGCAGAGGAAGGTAAACTTCCAAACTCATTCTATGAGGCTACCATCACTGTAATACCAAAACCTGACAAAGATGCCACAAAAAAAGAAAACTACAGGCCAATATCACTAATGAACATAGATACAAAAATCCTTAACAAAATTCTAGCAAACAGAACCCAACAGCATATTAAAAAGATCATACATCATGACCAAGTGGGCTTTATCCCAGGGATTCAAGGATTCTTCAATATCCACAAATCAATCAACATAATACACCACATTAACAAATTGAAAGACAAAAACCATATGATTATCTCAATAGATGCAGAGAAAGTCTTTGACAACATTCAACATCCATTTATGATAAAAACCCACCAGAAAGCAGGAATAGAAGTAACATACTCAACATAATAAAAGCTACATATGACAAACTCACAGCAAACATTTTCCTCAATGGTGAAAAATTGAAAGCGTTTCTCCAAAAATCAGGAACAAGACAAGGGTGCCCACACTCACCACTACTATTCAACATAGTGTTGGAAGTTTTGGCAACAGAAATCAAAGCATAAAAAGAAATAAAAGGAATCCAGAGTGGAAATAAAGAAATAGAACTCTCACTGTTTGCAGATGACATGATCGTCTACAAAGAAAACCCTAAAGACTCCACCAGAAAACTACTACAGCTAATCAATGAATATAGTAAAGTTGCAGGATATAAAATTAACACACAGAAATCCCTTGCATTCCTATACACTAACAATGAGAAAACAGAAAGAGAAATTAAGGAAACAATACCATTCACCATTGAAACAAAAAGAATAAAATACTTAGGAATATATCTACCTAAAGAAATAAAAGACCTATATATAGAAAACTATAAAACACTAATGAGAGAAATCAAAGAAGACACAAATAGATGGAGAAATATACTATGTTCATGAATTGGAAGAATTAATACAGTGAAAATCAGTATACTACCCAAAGCAATCTATAGATTCAATGCAATCCCTATCAAGTTCCCAACGGTATTCTTCACAGAACTAGAACAAATAATGTCACAATTTGTATGGAAATACAAAAAACCTCGAAGAGCCAAAGCAATCTTGAGAAAGAAGAATGGAACTGGAGGAATCAACCTGTCTGACTTCAGGCTCTACTACAAAGCTACAGTCATCAAGAGAGTATGGTACTGGCAGAAAGATAGAAATATAGATCAATGGAACAAAATAGAAAGCCCAGTGATAAATACACACACCTATGGACACCTTATCTTTGACAAAGGAGGCAAGAATATACAATGGAGAAAAGACAATCTCTTTAACAAGTGGTGATGGGAATACTGGTCAACCACTTGTAAAAGAATGAAACTAGAACACTTTCTAACACCATACACAAAAAATAAACTCAAAATGCATTAAAGATCTAAACATAAGACCAGAAACTATAAAACTCCTAGAGGAAAACATAGGCAAAACACTCTCCAACATAAATCACAACAGGATCCTCTATGACCCTCCTCTCAGAGTATCGGAAATAAAAACAAAAATAAACAAATGGGACCTAATTAAACTTAAAAGCTTTTGCACAACAAAGGAAACTATAAGCAAGGTGAAAAGACAGCCTTCAGAATGGGAGAAAATAATAGCAAATGAAGCAACTGACAAAGAATTAATCTCAAAAATATACAAGCAACTCCTACAGCTCAATTCCAGAAAAATAAACGACCCAAATCAAAAAGTGGGCCAAAAAACTAAACAGACATTTCTCCAGAGAAGACATACAGATGGCTAAGAAACACATGAAAAGATGCTCAACATCACTCATTATCAGGGAAATGCAAATCAAAACCACAGTGAAGTACCATTACACGCCAGTCAGGATGGTTGCTATCCAAAAGTCTACAAGTAATAAATGCTGGAGAGGGTGTGGAGAAAAGGGAACCCTCTAACACTGTTGGTGGGAATGCAAACTACTACAGCCACTATCAAGAACACTGTGGAGATTCCTTAGAATACTGGAATAGAACTGCCATGTGACCCAGCAATCCCACTGCTGGGCATACACACTGAGGAAACCAGAAATGAAAGAGACACATGTACCTTAATGTTCACCACAGCACTGTTTATAATAGTCAGGACATGGAAGCAGCCTAGATGTCCATCATCAGTTGAATGGATAAGAAAGCTGTGATACATATACACCATGGAATATTTCTCAGCCATTAAAAAGAATACATTTGAATCAGTTCTAATGAGGTGGATGAAACTGGAGCCTATTATACAGAGTGAAGTAAGCCATAAAAAAATACCAATACAGTATACTAATGCATGTTTATGGAATTTAGAAAGATGGTAATGATAACCCTATATGCAAGACAGCAAAAGAGACAGAGATGTATAGAACAGTCTTTTGGACTCTAGGGGAGAGGGCGAGGGTTGGATGATTTGGGAGAATGGCATTTAAACATATATATTATCATATGTGAAATGAATCGCCCGTCCATGTTCGATGCATGAGACAGGGTGTTCGGGGCTGGTGCACTGGGATGACCCAGAGGGATGGGATGGGGAGGGAGGTGGGAGAGGGGATCGGGATGGGGAACACATGTAAATCCATGGCTGATTCATGTCAATGTATGGCAAAGTCACTGCAATATTGTAAAGTGATTATCTTCCAATTAAAAAAGAAAGAAAAAGAACTTTTAAATCAGTTTTTGAACCAACCAATAGGGACATTTCTCATACAACTGTATATTTCTAATAATCAATTTTTTCAGTATTTTACAAATGAAACTTTTTGTTTGTTTGTTTGTTTGTTGTACACTTTTGATTGGGCCTCTATGGCAAACCACTCTACTATTCCTCCCTGAAGAACTCCATGGAGAGAGCGGCCTGGAGGGCTACAGCCTATGGGGTCCCAAAGAATCACAATTGAGTGATTAACAGTTTTATTTTTACACTTTCACAATCCTGGGGAGCCTCTCAAGTGATCACTCTGCTTTAAAACTTTCATTGGTTGTTTCTCATGAGATATGTAGCATTGGAGTCCATCCTGTATCCTGTACCTTCCCTCCACCAGCTGTGCGTGGGTCCCTGGAGTGGGGAGTGGAGTTCGGATGAGGGTCAAGCTGGGGAGGGGAGGTCAGGTGGTCAAGTGGTCTTGGTTCTGATAGAGGTGGATTAACTGGAAGGTGACAAAGCTTAAGCCCTTCTTTGTTCTTGTTCTAAATAAATATTTTTAAACAAACACAAAGATATTTTAACTAGTTTTTCCTAAGATGTAATTTTTAAAATTTAGTTTTACCTTTAGGGCATCAGAAGAGATGTAAAAAATTCTTAAAAAAACAAAAAGACTTTAAAAAATACCCTGAGTTTAGGCTAACTTACTTTAAATAAAGTGGTTGTTGGAATGCATGCTTGGGGCATGGTCCCACACCTTACCATATAAACAGAGTCTAAATTTTTCCTTCTTCGATTTTCCTGAGTTGAATTTGATTTTTGCTGTATATAGTCCACTCATTTCCATGGTGAGATTCCTGATGCTCAAGAAAGCCTTCTCTGTTAAGTTGAGTCTGTGCTTGTATATTTCTTCAAGATCATACCAGTCAGGAGTAGGGGTCTGAGGCTTCCAGGTCACTAGCTGCATGTTCTCATCATTCTCAGGTTGCCAATTCCACTCAATCTCTCGGATGCTAGAATTCAAAGGGGAGGTCAGTGGCAGCTGTACAGATGCCCCCACAGTCTTTTTCAATGTGCAGGAAGAGCTGGGGTATTTGACAGCTTGAGAATCTGGTGAAGCACTAGTTAAGCCTGGAGGAAGAGAGAAGCAGAGCAAGCGTTATACTGTATCTGCTGTCTTCACATCACACTGATTTTACACCTATAAAAAGATTATCTTCATTTTTACAGACAAGGAAACAAAACTGCAGAGGTAAACTTGCTTAGGCATTGGTCTTGCCTAGAAGTTGATAGTTTTGATCCAAGCATATGTCTGTCACCCTTCCAGACTCATGCTCTTTCCTTTTCTTACAGCTTGCACCCAATATGGGCTTTGGCTTAATTCTAGGAACTAGAAACTGAAATATTGAAGTTGATGAGTAATAATACAATTTCCCCATTTTTTCTATAGACTAGAGGAAAATCATTTCAGCTTTCTCCTATGCTATCGTTTTTTTCCCCCCTCAACCAATTGCTTTTTGGTTTCTGGCCACCACTCCTCTGAAATTGCTCTTGATTGATATACTGATTACTACCTAAAACTAACAAATCCACATGTCATTAGTCAATCTGTCAATCCTAGCCTTATGGGACCATCTTGTGGCATTTGACATATGACTACTCTTTCTTGAAACTCTACTTATTTGAAACAAATTTTTACTCATTGGGCCCTCAGTCCACTTTCTTTCAATAAATGTTTAATGAGCTAGGTATAACTGAGGTTGCCAGAGATACAGTGGTGAACAAGTGGGCCAGATCCCTGCTTTTATGGAACTACCATTGTAGTCAAGGAGACTGCTGAATAAAGCAGGAGAAAGTACAAGATTTCAGATACTTGTAAGTGCTGTTAAAACAGGATGTGGCACAGATTTCATAACAGTTGCCTGGCATCTGAACTCCCTTCTCATATTTATGGAATTTTCTGTCTTATGAAACACATCCCAACGTGAAAATGCCTGATACTTTCCCAGCCACCTTTATAGCAGAGACAGCACATAACCTGGGCTTCTCCAGTCAGATGCACCTATTCAGACTTCCAAACAGAAGCTACTGGATGGTGGGAGGAGGACCACAGTGTATGCGCTATTGACAATGACAGTCGTGGAAACAGACCCCTGATTGCCTGAAGCAATGTTGACAGCAGTTCTGAGGCAAGTCAAGTATCCAGTCAGTGAGATGTAAGCTGTGGTGTCTGTGTCAGAAGTAACAGAGCAGTTTCTACTGGACCAGTTCTGTTGTGGCTCCTGGATGAGTCATCTCAGAGCCTGGTCACCCAGATCCCTCAAAGGTCCGTGGACCACCTGCTCTCCTTTAATATAAATATTTAATTATCAGTTGATTTCTTGGAGTTATATAGTCAAGAAATACAAAAGAAGAAGATCTGCAAAATCAACCCCAAACAATTAAGAAAATGGCAATAGGAACATACATATCAATAATTACTTTAAATGTAACAGAATTAAATACTTTTAAAATTTATTTTTAATTGGAGGATAATGCTTTACAATGTTGTGTTGGTTTCTGCCATACAACAACGTGAATCAGCCATAGGTATACACATATTCCCTTCCTCTTGAGTCTCCCTCCCACCCCACTCCCCACCCCAGCCCTCTAGGTCATCACAAAGCACTGAGCTGAGTTCCCTGTGCTATACAGCTGCTTCCCACTTGCTTTTTTACATAGGGTAGTGTATATATGTCATTGCTACTCTCTCAATTTGCCCCACCCTCTTATTCCCTGACTGTGTCCATAAGTGTGTTCTCTACGTCTGTATCTCTACCTACCCTGCAAATAAGTTCATCAGTACCAATTTTCTTAGATTCCATATATATGCATATATATTTCCATATATCAACATTTGCTTTTCTCTTTCTGGTTTACTTCACTGTTTAACAGGCTCCATGTTCATCCACAGTCAGTTGATATCTGTTGTTTGTAACCAAGAATGCTGAGTGACAATTAGAGATAATGTGATAAGATACTGGTGGTTTAATGGACGTGTGAGGCGTGGATGGTTTATTAAGAAAGTCTCCTAAAAAGGTGTGACAGCTAAAGTGAGTTCTGAATGATTACAGGACAGAATGAATTCTTCCAGGCACAGAAAGTGCATGTACAAAGTTTCCAGTGTACAAAAGATCGTGGTCTCCATGTGGGATGAATGGAGGACTGTGCCTGGAGTGGACTGAGTGAAGAAGAGATCTGAAGACAGACTGAGGCAGGAAAGGCTTTTTAGGGTTTGTAGGTGGTTTGGATGGATTCTGATTGCCACAGGAAGCTGCCAAAGGGTTTTTAGCAGGGTAATATGTGGTTTACATTTTTATTGATCACTTTAGAATACACACTGTGTGCATAATGGTTTATAGGAAGTCAAGAAGAGGAAAAGGGATTCCACTTCAGAGACTTTTGCAATAGGTTAAGTGAGAGAAGGATGGTGGTAGGGGATGAGGATAAACGGGGAGATTCAGGAAATTTTGGAGGTAGAGTTATAGAGAGTGCTGATGGACTGGATATCAGAGAGAAGGAAAAGAAGAATCAAAGATGATTTCTAGGTTTTTGGCTTAAAAAACTGAGTAGATGGAATGACATTTATTGAGATGTAAATACCATTAAAGTCTGGGGAGCAGCAGGTTTGGGGTAAAGGTAGACATAACGTAAGAATTCAGCTTTAGACTGTTAACTTTGGCTTCCAAGAGCAGATGTTAAATGGGCCACATAGATGGGTTAAGCCTGGGAGGAGATGTCCAGGCTGAAAATGTGGCCCTCAGCACAGTCATGCTACTTACAACCATGGGATTAGCTAAAACCACCTAGGGATTAGGTGACTATAGCTAGGGAAGGAAAGAGGGCATAGCACTGACCACCAGAGGATTCAGGTCCATTGGGAGAGGTGGAGAAGGAACAGCCAGTGGGGAAGACCAGGTAAGTGCAGGGTCAGAAAAGCCAAGGAAGGAAAATGTTTCAAGAAGGAGGGGTGGACAACTAGGGCAGCACTACTGAGAGCTGAGGTTAGATTTCCTTTTATTCTTTTGTCTATTCCTTAGTACTTCCAAAATGCCCTTGTACTTCTCACTACATTAGTACTTATCCCCTTAATACAGATACTTCTTCACTATTATATTAAAATAGTCAAATAATACCCACCCTGCTCTTTATTTACCGTTGCTCACCACCATCAAAACTAGAATGAAAATGCAAAACATTCACTAGCCCACACTCCCTGCTCAGCCTTGTACTATTCTTGCACCTCCCCCTGCAACATTCTTCCAATTTGAAGGTTTCACTGACTTAGTAAAGTGTTCTGTTTCTAGACATTTATTAGATTTTCTCTGAAAATATGACATCTTTATTTTCAGAATCTTTGCAGTTGTTGTTCAGTAGTCAACTCATTTCTGACTTTTTGAGACCCCATGGACTGCAGTGTACCAGGCTTCCCTGTCCCTCACCATCTCCCAGAGTTTGCCCAAGTTCATGCCCATTGAATCAGTGATGCCACTCAACAATCTCATCCTCTGTCATCCCCCTCTTCTCCTGCCTTCAATCTTTCCCAGCATCAGGGTCTTTTCCAATGAATCGGCTCTTCACATCAGGTGGCCAGAGTATTAGAGCTTCAGCATCAGTCCTTCCAATGAGTATTCAGTGTTGATTTTCTTTAAGATTGACTGGTTTGATCTCCTTGCTGTCCAAGGGACTCTCAAAAGTCTCTAGCACGACAGTTTGAAAGCATCAATTCTTTGGTGCTTTGCCTTCTTTACGGTTCAACTCTCTCATCCGTACATGACTATTGGAAAGACCGTAGCCTTGACTGTACGGACATTTGTCAGCAAAGTGATGTCTTTACTTTTTAACACACTGCCTAGGTTTTTCATAGCTTTTCTGCCAAGAAGCAATTGTCTTCTAATTTCATGGCTGCAGTCACCATCTGCAGTGATTTTAGAGCCCAAGAATAGGAAATCTGTCACTGCTTCTGCCTTTTCTCCTTCTATTTGCCATGAAGTGATGGGACCAGATGCCATGATCTTAATTTTTTTAATACTGAATTTTAAGTTGGCTTTTTCACTCTTCTCCTTCACCCTCATCAAGAGGCTCTTTAGTTCCTCTTCACTTTCTGCCATTATAGTGATACCATCTGCATACCTGAGATTGTTGGTTTTTTTCCCCGGCAGTATTGATTCCAGCTTGTAACTCATCCAGCCTGGCATTTTGGATAACATGCTATGCATATAAGTTAAATAAACAAGGTGACAATAAATAGCCTTGTCATAGTCCTTTCTCAATCCTGAACCAGTCAGTTGTTCCATACAAGGTTCTAACTGTTGCTTCTTGAAATGCATACAGGTTTCACAGGAGACAGAAAAGAAGGTCTGGTATTCCCATCTCTTTAAGAGTTTTCCACAATTATGATCCACACAGTCAAAGGGTTTAGCGTAGTCAAAGAAACAGAGGTAGATGTTTTTCTGAAATTCTCTTGCTTTCTTTATGAAAGCAAGAAAGTGAATGTTGGCAATTTGATCTCTGATTCCTCTGCCTTTTCTAAACCCAGCCTGAACATCTGAAATTTGTTGGCTGGCATAGTGCTGAAGCCTAGCTTGGAGGATTTTGAGTATAACCTTACTAGCGTGGAAGATGTGCAATTGTTCAGTGCTTTGAACATTCTTTAGTATTGCCCTTCTTGGGAATTGGGATGAGGATTGATCTTTTCCAGTCCTGTGGCCACTGCTGGGTTTTCCAAATTTGCTGACATATTGAGTGAAGTACTTTGATAGCATCAACTTCTAGGATTTTAAATAGCTCTGCTGGAATTTCATCACCTCCACTAGCTTTATTAACAACAGTGCTTCCCAAGGCCCACTTGATTTCACACTCCAGAATGTCTGGCTCTGGGTAAGTGACCACACCATCATGGGTATTTGGGTTATTAAGATCTTTTTTGTACATTTGTTCTTTGAATTCTTTCTATCTCTTCTTGATCTTACATCATCATCATCATCATCCATGCAGTTTAATTACAATTGCTGTGGTTTTTTGCTTACCACTGTTTATTCTTTATCTTTCCCTACTGTTTCATCTGGGTTCTAAGTCGCTT